CTCGGAGCGGATGCTCGGAGCCGGATCCGTCCGTAGCGGCGCGGCCGCTCCGCCGCTCCCTGCACCGAGCCCTGCTGCTGTTGCAAGCTCCGGGAATGCTTTCTGTCACGAAGCGGGTGTCTCGGTTGGTACCGAGGGTCACTCAGCCTCGCGAACGCCTGTGGGGCTTCTCGGGAAAAGTGTTGCTGCCGGGGATTTAAAATAAAAACACTAGAGGAGTCGCCTTTTGGGATGTTGCAGCGCGGTGGAGTCTGTTGAAGTGGGGCCGGTGCTTTGGAGGCTTGGCTGCTCTCAGGTACCGCGGTGGGTGTTGAACAGTGGGACTTGAAACCTCTGAAAGTTCCGTGACAATAAAGCTGCTCTGGTTTCCTTCGGAATCTGATGGAAATCTGCTGAGGGGCACCAAACATTTCTGAAGCGGCTTGGATTCAGCGTCTGTTTGCAGAGAGCCTGTCCCTGGACTGTTGTCTCTGCTAGGACTCAAAGAATCAAAAGTTTCTCGTGGAAAATGTTGTAAGCTGCGGTTTTTCAAAGTTGTAGTAAGGTCTGTGTACTTTTGGCAATTTCTGCGCCTGTTGGGTTAACAATCTAACTTGGGTTTGTACCGTGGGGGAAAGCCCATTGTGGCAGGAGCCAGCACTTCCCAGTGCTCCTCGGCAGCGTTTATACTCTCTTGGTTTTAATCCTGGTTATTTAAAAAACAATAACATTTTTAGCGTCTGTGTGAGGTTTTTGGATGTTACAATATTAGTACCAGGGTGCAGGTAGATTTGAGGTTTCAGATTTTAGATTTTTTCAGGAGCTGTTCGTGGTGAGGGAGGGCTGCGGGGAAGGGCAGTGTGGCGGTGCCCAGGTGCTGTGTGTGTGTGGCTGCTGCATTCACCCCGAGACAGGCTCTCATTCACCCTAAACGCTGCAAAAAGGGGATGCTGATTCTCCTCAGGGTTAAACCTCTGCAGCTGCCTGGCTTTCTGTGGTGTCCGTGAGAGCAGGTGAGTCCTGCCCTGCTGCTGTGTAGTGAAGGAGGTTCCCACGGAGGCAGGAGTGGGCTCGCTTCCCCTCCAAGTGGGGACCTGGTGTCTGCAGGGCTTTGCTCGTGCCAGACCCGAGGCAGGAGGTAAGTCTGGGGTGGGAGGCGAGAGAGAGACAATCGCTCGCTTTGCAATGGAGTGACTGCAGAGGAGGTAGTGGGACACGCAGGGCTTTGGGATTTTGGGGTGTAATGCATGTGCAGTGAGCATGAGAAGTGGAGTTCTGGCGGCTCACCAGGCGCAGGCAGTGGTCTTCAGGAGCGAGTGTGTGATTTACCAGGGGTTGTAGCTGGCGATGTGCAGGATGGCTTTCTGAGAAATTACTCGGGTTCGCATCCTTCTGAGGATGTTTCTCTGGGCACAGGATCCCTCTTGCAGCGGGAGGACGGGGGCTTGGGCCGGCCTCCCTGCAGAGTGCTTCTGTTGCTAGGCAGCAGCTTGCACCTCCAGCGTGCTCCAGATCCGAGTCTGCGAGGGGAGACCTTCCTCTCCTGAACTGAAGCTTTCTAGCTGGTGACCAAGGGTAGAAAGCACATATCCTGTGGGTGTGGGTGTGCAAGCACTGCTTGCTTTGGTACTGGGGAGGGGTGGTCAGGTGGGAGCGTTCAGGGTTGTTAGCTGACAGCAAGACTTCTTTATACTCACCCACCCACTTGGGCTGCAGGCGAGCACAGAGAAAGGGATGAATCTTTGTTCCATTTGTAAGGCTTAAGAATTCTCTGCAGAGCACCTTTTCCCATTCACAGTACCTGGAAGCTCATGGGAGGTTTGTCTTCAACTTGTTTGGTTATTGATGCTTTAGCAGTTAAACGGGGTGGAGGGAAAATAGAGTAAGATTTGCACAAGAGGTAGGATGGAAGGCCAGGTGTGCCACATTAATGTTCTTAGCCAGCATGAGTCCATTTTAGTGGATGCCACACAATTGCTGGAGCCTCAGTGCACGAATGGCATCAGCCAGCGTTGTCTGAACTGCTCTGTATCTCGCAGAGCAATGGAAAGCCTTTTAATTTTCAGAGCTGCCAATCTGGTGGCTGCACTTCGAAGCAGTGCAGTAGCTGAAGCTGTTGGAAACTAGCAGGGGAGGAGGGGACAGGGACTGACCGCTCTCCAAATAGAAGTCAGATCAAAAAAGAGCCTGAAAGGGTCAGGAGGGATTCATAGGCTGGTGAAGGTGAGCTCAGCAGAAGGGCTGTTCTTGTGGCACAGATAACTTCTGATCTGGCAGGGATTGGTGGCGTGGGAGAAGGAGGAGGAAGATTCCTGGTTTGATGGGGGCTGGAGGCTTGGACCTCAGAAGCTGGACTTGGCAGCCTTAAGCCTGGATGGGGCTGCAGAGGAGTGTGGAAGTGGAGGTAGGAAGACACTTGCTGGTCTCAGGATGTTGTGGGTGTTGTGCTGTGCCACTGTGGGATAAGTTGAGCCATGGAGGGTTTAGGAGTGGGTTTGTCTGGAGGTGTCAGGCTGCTGGAGGCAGTGTGTGTGTGAGGAGCCCAGCAGAGATGCAGATAGGCTGCTGGAGAGCAAGGAGGAGGGAATGGGGACAGCATATGAAGCTTGTACCCCCTGGGATACTGTGCCTGCTTGGAGAGGACAGGCGCATCCAGGATGTCTGGACGGGATGTTCCTGTAAGGGGATTTGCATAAGTAGAGTGTTTTCCATATTGTTCTCAGCTGTTTCCTGGGGAGAGAAGAACACATGTAACAGTAATCTCTTAAATCTATGGAGAACAGTGTCTTCTATGTGGCATTTGGAAGGGAGAGGCTGTTTAAAACTTTCTTTGTGATGCCCTTGTGGGACCAGAGGTGGAGAAAAGGTTCCAAGGAGCATGTTCAGCTAGTCATCCCTGCTAGCTGAGGTGGGAAGCTGCCAGGGATGGCTGGGGCTGGTGGCCTTGACCTGTGTGTCTGAGGGAAAAGGCTGAGAAGTTGTACTCACTGTGAGAAGTGCAAATAAAGCATTTATAGTGTATGGACTTTTCCTGCTCTCTGAAACATTCAGGTTCTGAGTAATCCTCTCACTTCAAACTGAGGCTCAAGCTGAAAATATTAAGGGATGCTAAATTGTGAACAATTGTTAAACAGCCTTAAAGAGCTGTATGGGAAACTGTGTCTGCTCTTCATTTCTAAGCCTTCCTCAAACAATGAGAGTCTGAGCTATTTATCAGGAGCTCTTTTAGTGCTGGAAGGGAAAGTGAACATTTAAAGTGTATCACAAAATAAAGAGGCACTTTAAGAGGCAATTTGCTTTTCAGGATGTCCAACTAAAAATAAATCTTTCTTTAAACACCCTTGAAAAGAAAACAGAGGGAAAAGATCTCGCCCTTGCTGAGAATAAGGAAAATCTTTTTGCTAGCTTTGATGGTGTGGGTTTCCTCTGGCATCTGGTACTAGATCCAGATAAACCCTCTTGGAACTGGTGGAGAACTGAAGAGTGTCTTATATTCAGTAATATAAGACACTGGTGAGATAGAGGCTGAGTTAGAAACTTCTGTCGGGGTTTTGGCTAATCCTTTCCACCCCAAAAGCACCACAGAGAGTTCTTTCCACCCCTCTTTTCTTTGTTTTATGTAACAGCTAATTAACAAGGATGTCTATTTGACTGAGCAATTTCAGGGCACATAAAATATGTATTTTATTTTGGCTGCATCAGAACAAAACACCATTGTTTCCAAGATTTCAAAAATGTGTCAAAGTATTCTCAAGCAATTTCTCAAATTCTGGGGGGATGTTGTTTCTTTGCTTACTTAATTATATTCTTATTTTCACTCAGACAAATCTGGCAACACATGTATGTAAAGTCCAGTCTCTAGTTATGTAAGAGAGAAAAAAACACCCATCAAGAATCTGTTTATCACTTTAAGGAATAGAGATGGTGCGGAGTTCAGTGAAAGCAACTTGCCTCTGCTGACGGCAAAGTGCCATGTCTGGCTTCTCTGGGACTGTTTTCTAAGTGGAAAACTGTAGATGAGTGTTTTACAAGGTGCCTGACAACTGATATATAATTTTTTCCAAATTCTGTCATCTTTGAACAGTATGTATTAGTTAGAAAAGCGTGTGGCCATGAATGAAATCAAGGAATGAATTTCTAAGCACATTGCATGCAGAACTGTATTCTCACAGATCCTGTTTCATTAACAGGAGTGAATTTGGACCTGATTTTCCATGACTAGTGCAAATACTGTTATTTTGTTAATATTGCAGAGCTATGAGTGTGTATGAGAGCAGGGATAATGTCGATACAGCTGAGAGTTACAGCTGTAGTGTCTCTGCTGTGTGGTCAGGGAAAGAGGCCTGTTTTAAAGGCTCTGTAAAAGCAGGGAACATTTCAGCATGCAGATGGCAGCCCAGTCTAAAATCTAGTTCTATTTGTGCTGAGCACCTCTGTAACGAGCCTTGAGGAGCACAAGGGGAACGAGAGAAGCGGTGTGGGGGGAAAGAGGAGGGATGTGCTATCTTTCAGGATTGAGACCTCCCTTTGAACTGTCTCTCTCCATTTTTAATAGCTTTTCTGCAAAAGCTGCTTGGGGAGCAGGGTTAGAATGGGTATGAAAGAAGCAAAGCATCTAATCTTTTGGCTTAATAATGCCCCTGCTTAGGCGGCTGCGAATTGGACAGACCTCCTTATTGATATGAGAGCAGTGAGTGAAATTGCTGTGGGTGAGAATGGTCTTTTCTCCTCTCTTTTAATCTGAAATGTCTTCTCCTTTTGTAGTTGAGGCTCTGTAGAGAGGACCTGTGACCGCTGGCAGGGCCATTTAAAGCACTCAGGAGAAAACAGCCATGACCTGAGCAGGGGTGTTTGTTCTGGGTGTCAGCAGCTGAAGAGCTGGAGTCATGTGCAGCCATGGTTTGTCTGGAATTTACAGGGTTCATCAGTGACTCTGAAGCTTGAGAGTTCTCATCAGCACTTTTTTTTTTTTTTTCACTCAAGATATCTGAAAAGCAAGAGTCAGAGTTTTCCTCATGTGGCTTCTCCACAGCCCAGGATGGGCTGGCTGGGCTGGGTTTGAGAGTAGTGTGAGCTTGTCTCAGCCCAGAAGAAATTTGTCATCCTGGGACAGTGTCCAGCAACCTTGTGAGCTTTGAGAAGCACATGTGGTCACCCATGGCTCTGTCCCCTCAGATGCTGTGATTACTGCTGCACCTTGCTCTGCATTGGGAACTTCCTGCTGTAACTGCATCTATTCTAGGACTTAGGCTGATTCAAGGTGATTGTTAAAATCTCTCCCCTTTCCTCAGTGCTAGTGTACATGTTTAGCTTTCCAAGTGCAGCTTGTCTTTACATTTCCTTCTCCCTCCCAGTGGGCTTTGCTGTAAGCTTTTAAGTACTTCTGCAAGGTGCTGAGAGGCTAAGCCCCACTCTGTAAACCTAAACGCTGGCTCTGAGAGTTTTTACATTTCCTACAGTACTTCATGTTGCCTGAAGTACTGTATTGATTAAACCACAATCTGCAGGAGTAAATATATGTAGAATATTAATAGCTTCTACTCTAGGGGGAAAAAAAGGCTGTAAATTAATTAATCCATTCTGTTGACCTCATAAACCATGAGGGCTTGCAGTACAGCTGTAATCCTCCTCCCACAATATGTATTTCACTTTGAATGCGTGTAAAAGGCCTGGACTACTCAGACTTAAAAGCTGTGATACTGCACACACATATCCATGTATCCTAGGATGTGTAGTTAGGATATTGTGACGTTAAGGCTGAGCAATAATTCTCTCTAGAATCCAGGGTAGTGCTGAATCAGTACATCACAGCTGGGTATGAGGCTTAAAAAACAGTAACTTTCCCACTCCTTTGTCATTCTTGTACCTCCTTACTGTTGCTTTCTGTGCTTCCAAGTGCAGGAGCTGCTGCAATGAGGGGTGAGTACAATGCAGGGATTTAAAATCTGGTTTGGAGATATAATGAACTTGAATTCTGTGTGAGTTGCTTAGGGAATCGAGGTCAGTGTGTGGTGTGAGCTGATAGAACTCCATCTGCTAATCAGTGCTGAGTAGTCCTAGTTCTTCTGGTTTACAAATCTGTTAAGATGGGCTGCTTAGGTTTTTATTGAATTTTCTTAGCATCAGTTTAGATGCGTGTGTACGTTGTATGCTCATCACTCTTTAGTGTTTTGATACTACAGATATTTTAATCTTTATCTATATTCAGAGTATTTCAGGGGATTTTCTCATTTTCTGCCTTGGATAGGAAAATCCTTGTAAGAAAATGTTCTTGTGTTCTTGGGCTTGCAGGGTTTTCTCTACAGGGCAAGCCAGGAGTTTGCTCAGTGTTGAGTGTGATTGCCACTTCACCATAACTAAAATCACTTACACACTCTGCAGCCACATATGTTCATGGGGAAGTGAATGGGGTGTTGGCCATCCCCAGTATTTTTCTTTTGTGCTTGTCACTGAAACCCTTTTTTTTTTGTTTCTGTGTTACACTGTAAGATTCTTTTTGAAACTTTAAGATTCTGCACTTGGTATCTTCAACAGTTCCATTTGGAAGATATTTCACCTTTTAGTGGCAGCATTAAAATTTTTTCAAACAAAACCTGGGTGTTAACACCAAAGGGATGGTACTGATTGTTTCTTCTGAAATAACTGGTAAGGTTGAATTTAGTCCTTTAAATCACAGAAGATCTGTGAGTTTTAGGTTTTTCTTCCTTTTCTTTTTCACCCAGACATTCAGCCTTGAGGGGAGTCATTAGAGATAAATATTATAACCTTGTCAGTATTTAGCTGTGGGTTCCTTTTGCTTTGTCAGGATAAGACCTTGCTTTTTCCTTGTTGTGTTACTGTCACGCAGGTGATGCACTGCTGAGCCAGTAGTAATCCCAGATAGTTTAGATGTTGTCTCTTTGTTGCTGTTTCCTTCCAGTTTGCATAACACAAGCACTGTGTTGAGCAGGCACACCATGTTCACCTCATGTCTTGGTTCTGGAGACAAATTTTAGGAGAAAACGCTCTGGAATGAGAGTTTCCTCTAAAGAGAAAGGGCTTCAATATCTCCCTTTTCTTCTGCCAGTGAGAGAAATGGATACCAGGGGATGAAAGTGAAAAAAGTAAAACTGTTTATTAACAGTAAAACTGTTTATTAACAAAGCAAGTTACCCAGAAAGCACTGGGAAAAAAATTGAGCCTCACCCCCACGTATCCATGTGGCCAAGAGGGAAAGGTGGTGGCTGCCCTTCTTGTCTCTGGGAAGAGAGGAGATAAGAGTTCACAGCAGCTGGGAACCTGTTGGATCTCTGGTGTGGGTCTCCTCCTCACAGCAGCTGAAGTTGGTGGATTTTAATGTCCTTTCTCATGTTGGTTCAGCTCCTGTGAGGTCTCAGGTTCCAGGTGGTCCCACTGGCTCCCCGGATGGGCTGGGAAGAAAAACAAGCCAAGCCAAAAATGGTTCAAAGGAAAAAACACCAGCCAAAACCAAAAAGCTGCTGAAAGGATTCCTGGTACAGCCTCCATGCTAGAGGAAGGGAAGGGAAAAATACTTCTGGCTTCAAGCTATCAAAAATAATCTGACAAAAGGAACAATGTGGGGTCCCTGGGCCAGGCTGTCCGGAGCACCGGACAGAGGGTTTGAACGGAGCCCCGCAGTTCCCAGGCTCCAGCCCCGCCACCTGGTTCATCTTTAAAATACAGCAGCCATTTCTGGGCATAAAACACATGACTAGGGAATAAAGTGTCATCATAAAATCACCCTAGGAGACCTAATTTTAAAATTTCTCTTTAAATTTCAGCTGAACAAGGAGAATTAGGCAGATGTGAGTTTAGTTAAGGACCTGGGTCCAGTGGAGACTTAAATCCTGCAAGACAAATGCTGAATGCACACTGCCTTGTAGAATTAATGCTCCTTTTGTATTTAGACAACTTAAGTGGCTGGTTATGATGGTGAAGATGCACAATGAATTAGGCAAAATGAAATATTCTTTGATGCTCATTGAGCAGCAGAGCGAAGAACACTGCATGACCCATATCAAGCAGAGCTGAAGAGACATTATTTGAGCTAGCATGCATCTGTGATCTTGAGTATTTTATCTCTGATCCTGAGTATTTTTTTTTGTATTTCAGGTATCAACAAAAAGGAGTTGGTGCCCATTGTGGATTGCTGCCAACCAACATCTTATATAGGCTGAAAATCTTTGAGTAATAAACATCTCAATGTGGTATGTTGGCAAAAGAGAAGACCCGAGAGTGAGTTCATATTAAAATTTAAAGCCTTAAAAAGTGGGATGGGGAAATAGTTTGAGAAGAAAGAACAGGACCAGCCTACTGTAAAGACAACGAAAGAATTACTGTTGCCATTTCATCCTTTGTGTGTGAGGTGAAACCGGTAATTTATTTTTGTGAGATATCTGAGCAACAAAACCTGACAATTGGAAATCACTAAAGAGGTGGTTTGCTGTTTTTAATGAGTGCCTTCTGCATCACATCTTCTGTGGAGAAACCAGAACCTACAGAGCCTCGTGGTGTGTCAGCAGATCTCAGCCTGTGCACAGACGTGTGCCTGAGTGCACATGCACTGCTTTTCCTTTCTTGTTTTCTTTTAAAAAAGAGCACTGCATAAGCAAAGCTTGTGGTACAAATTAGAGCAAAACTAAATTATATTGAAAGTGTGAACTTGGGAATTTATGTGCTGGATTTTGTGCAAAATAATGCTCTGATTTTCTTCTCATTTCTAAGTGCCTACTTCTAACCTTGTCACTTGAAGTTCCTTTGAGTTCCAGAAGCCATATGAGCTAAAGTGGGATCTGGAAAGACAGCAGGCAGTACACGATGGAAACTGGAACACAGGAGTTTCCCAAGCTCTGTTTTCTGAGGATTTGGTTGGAAGAACTAAGTTTTTCAAAAGAGATGAAGGGTGTTAGGCAGGATATGGGAGTCAAGGTGGTTTTTGTTAGAAGAACAAAATTTGTGCTGGATGGCAGCCTGGCCCCTTGTAGTTTTGTGTGCTTACAGGACACTGTGACAGATGCCCAAAGTCAGGTGTGTAGCACAAATGGGGTGAAGAGGGAAGGAAAGACTTTATTGGCAATGCAGTGATGAAGAATTAAGTTGTTGCACCTTGCTTCTCCTACACTTTTCCCTCTGATAGCAACTTCCCTTTACTTTCCTGGATGCAAATACAAGCTGGCAGGTCACAACAAGGCTTGGACTAGTGATTTTTTTCACCTTTGTCCACAAGCACTTCATTCTGTGTCTCTCTTCCCTCCTCACAGTGATTTTAGGCAAGTTGGCTGTAATTTTCTATGTCATTATTGAATGAGATGTCTTCAGTCTTCTGGGAATGGGATGAACTTGGTTCCCCTCTCATGAGGCATGACCAGTAGTGTGTTACATTCTTGTTACAGCTGTGAGCCCCTACTCACCCCTGCTTGGAGTTTGCAGCATCAGAGCAAGCAGCTCCTCAGGGAAGTGCTGCTCAGTGCCTGTGAGGGGAAAGTTTTGTCAAATGGTAAATTCAGCCCCTGCTTGCAGGGAAATGGCACTGAACTCTATCAGGTTTATTCTGTCTTGTGTCTCTTCAAGGTGGCACAGTTGTGTTCATGCTCTTTATCAGACCATAGGCATCCACAACACACTTGTAGCCAAAGTTTAGCACGGGGCTGGCTTCAGTCGTTATTCCATCACCCTGCCTGACCAGTGACTCAATGGCCCTCAGGAGGAAATTGGGACTGCTCCTGTGGGTAGACATGGTAAGAGTCTTGGCACAGTCAGATCCAGAAATCTCCTGACCAGTTTGGAAACTTAGTCTTGAATTAATACAACCTTTCTTCTTCTGGCTGCTGGACATTCTGGGGAAAATACAGCTTATTTTGTATCTTGTGTTCTTTGTTAACCTGAATGTTTAAAAACAGTCATCTCTGATGGGGCAGTTTGAACTGATTGTAGCTGGCTGCTGTCTCAGGACAGGAGCCAGCTGAGCCACTGGTCACACTGGTGTGACTGATCCCATTGCTGGTGTAAGTGACAGCTCAGACTCTGATGGATATTTCCATGCCAGCCTCAGTGGAGTTGTGTCAGATGTGACAAGCTGAGGCTTTGGGCTTGATTATGAATGACTGGGTGGTGCTGTGGTTTCTTGCCCTTTTCCTGCTCTGTATTCCTGATTTGTGGAGGTACAGAGACTGACTGCCTTGGAGAGGCCAGGGCTTCAAAAAGTAAAACTCCTATCAGTGCTGACAGAACCAAGAATTTTCTGCTCTGCCTAGCATTAGTATTGGTTGGCAGAACTTGCTTTGAATTTTTGAACGTATTTAATGCAGCCTAGCTTGTTTGGGGTGGAGATGCACAGACCCACATGAAAAAGGACCTAGTAATTCCATATTTCAGCTGTAATTACCGAATGGAGAAAAGTGGAGAAACTAATTTGCAAAGTTATACTTGAAAATCATTCTAGCGTAACATCATCATTACAATTATCTGTCAAAAGATTCAGTTCAATTACTTTTTTTAAGCTCTCTTGTCACGATGGCCTTACTGGTTTCAGGATTGTGTTACTCCAAGGAGAGGTCAAGGAAGAGTGAATGCTAATTCTGTCATTAACCACTGTCAGACAGCCTTCAGTGCATATTATTTCTTGAAAATGCCTTCGCATTGTTACTGTGAGTAATCAATAGGAATAAAATGCCACAGAATTCACGGAGAAAAAAACATCCACTCCTGTTTATAGATTGTAGTACAGTAAGGTGAGAGGAAGAGAACTTCAGTTTTAAGTGGTAATTTTGAAATAATTGAATAGCAGCACAATTCCTATAGTGTAAAAGATTACACAGGGTTACTTACATTTCCTTCACACAACGATAGGCCAGTAATAAAATTACAAGGGGAGAATATTCGATGTAATAAACCCAAATTAAACTGAATAAGCATCAGTGAACAGCACGATTTTGTAACTTCTTGCTGCTTTGTCACGTTGGGTAAATGTTGAGAGCTGGAGGGGTCTGGGATGCTCCTGAAGTGGAGGGTTTGGGACTTCTGAGTGAGCTGGGTGGGCAGATGTGTTACAGCATTTTTGGGAGGATTCCGTTTCATTGACCTCAGTTTTGACTACTAATGCTGGTAGTTTTGTTTCTATTTAGTTGAAACTGCTGTAAAATGTGTGCTGAATCTTTTGGTGCAAATAATAATTTCACAGTGATTTAGATGACTGCCTGCTTTACCTGATAATAAAGGTCCTGATCTAAAGCCTGTATTTTATACAGAGATGAGTTCCTGGAGTTTAAATATATCAGGCCACTTAAAAGCCCATGACTTCAAGCTAAGCATATATTTGAGGACTCTAGCTTGTAATTCAGCATCTCTCTTTGAGAGAGATGGGCTTGGAATGAGCAACTGACAGAACAGAGGGACACAGTCTCAAGCTGTGCCAAGGGAAATACAGGTTGGATATTGGGAAAAAGATTTTACAGAAAGGGTGGTAAAGTACTGGCATTGTCTGCCCAGGGAGGAGGTGGAGTCACCATCTCTGGATATATTTAAAGAAAAGACTGGATGTGGCACTCAGTGCCATGGTTTAGTTGAGGTGTTAGAGCTGGTTTGGACTCGATGATCTTGGAGGTCTCTTCCAACCTTGTGATTCTGTGATTTCATGAATTCAGATTTGTTCTACATGTTTTCAAGTGCAGAGAAGAAGCCTCAGTTTGCTCTTACTATCTTTTCTTGAATGGCATGGTACTTGTAAATGAAAACAGAATTAGTTCCAGTAATTATATAAAATTAAAAATAAAATTCTAAACTAGATTTTCCTTTTTCTTTTTTAATGAACATAATATAATGCATGTAGTAAATGTCACAGGTGAGAATCCTGAGATCTACATTCATTGATTTCTGATTTTTTTCACCTTTCTTTACCTCATTGTATAGGAGAAATTTCTGAAACAGCATTAATTGTAGTCAATTGTAGGCATTGTAGGAGCTTTTACAAGGCCACCAGTGGGAAAGTAAGGTTGCTAAGAGAGATTGCACGATTAACCTACTCTATGTGTTTTCCTGAACAATATGAATTTAAGTGTGTGACATGTTTGTTTGACACAAAGCTAATTGTGACCATCAGGATTTTCCCCTCAAATAACGTATAAAAATCTGCCAGATTAGACCCATACTACTTCAAATAAACTGTTGCATCTTGTAATTTTTTTCTTTGAGAGCAAAATGATATTTTTGAGGTGTCATTTAAAAAAACCCGACCCTTTTGTCTGATAGTAAGAGGTAAATTGTTCATACATGGTAACTTTGAACTGTTATGTTTTCCTATCCCTGCCTAAACATAAATGGAGAAGTTGTTACATTAAGCCATTGCCCTGTAATGGTTCTTTGAGAAATGTTTAACTGTAGCTGCTGCTTTGTTGTAGTGAAAAGCTGTGATTCAGACTTTGTACTATGTTTTCATTTCAGCTGTCACAGAAAGTGAAAGATGAAGCCTCTTGTTTTCTTGGTTCTTGTGATCTGTACTGTAGTCAGCATGAATTTGAAGTTCGTGTCAAAGAGAAATTCTGGTAAGTCACAGAAAATTATTTTTACTTTTGGATCTGGACCTCATGCTATCAAGCATTTTAGATGGCTGGATTTTGTTTTGCATATATACTGCTTGTTCTGTTCTGCCTCAAAAAAAAAAAAAATAAAGAGTCATAACTGGCATGGTTTGCTTAGTAAATGAAAACTGTTTGAAAGTGTCCTTACATTTTCTTTTGTTTAAAAAAAAAAAAAAAAAAGTGAAAAAAAAAAAAGTTGATCTGGTTGAAACCTCAAGCAGAGGTATTACAAAGGTAATAATGACTTTGGCATTGTGGCATTGTTCTAACATCCAGTCTTTTACTTATGATAAGGGAGTTTCTTAACTGTGGATGTGGTCTGTGGTGAGTTTTAGGTCTGGATGACTTTTTGTATGTTGAAAGGTCATGTTTGAAAACGTTATGCTGGCCAGACATGTGATCATGTATAGTGTTAACTGGGAAGAGCTTTCCTGAGTAGGTAATCTCTGATTATTCTGTCAGTGAAAGAGACTGGGAATTGGTTCATGTTTACATCTGCTTCTGAAACCTTCTGGTAGTAACAGAACACTTTAAAGAAGCATCAGAATCTTTCCTTCCAGGGTAGACAGTTCATCTGGATAATGGTTTATCTGTACTTGAGCCTGAAGTGAGACATGCTCTGCTCCATGCAGCTTTGCCCTCTCAAAGGAGTGACTTCATGAGACTTTGTATTTCTCAAGTGAAGTGTGAGTTTAGAAGACCCTGGGCAGACAGGCAGCTCAGCTGCAGTGCTACACAGTGGTGTCAGTCTGCTACAGCCTGGTGTGTGTAAGGGGAAATGTTTGACTGTTAAACTTTTGATTGCATGTTGTTTTTCCACACTGTGTGTTTACTGACATATGTGAGGGCTTTCACTGATCCTGCTGTCCTCAAGGTCTTCAGTCTTTTCAACACTGCAGGTACAAACAGAAATTACTGACTTCAGCTGGTGTCACATGTGTTAAGTTTAATTTCTGCATTTCTTGAAAACAGAGGAGAAAATTGTTGGGCTACCTATTAAAAAGAATTACATGTCACATCCCAGGCTGAGAATTGTTGCTCTGGGAGCTGCCAGATGCTGGCCTGGAAAGTGTAAATGGAAGTTGCTAAACTGAATTTGTCTCTGGCCTTTTGTTGGGGTTATTGTGTCCAGAACCCAGGTTGTGCTGTGGGAGCAGTCATGGCTATTGGGGTTTGGCTACGGTGCATCTTGGTCTAAACTCTGCTGAGGGTGATGGTGTTCTTGTTCTTCAAAACTGCTGTCACTGGCCTAGGTGGAAACTCTCTGAGACCCACAATCAGTGTAAGTGAACAGCCTCTATTCACTGGTGCCAGGCAACAGCACCTGGCTGCGAGCAAGGGCTGTGCAGTTCCTCTGCCAGAAGTGCCTGGCTGTAGAAGTGACATGCTGGTGGTTGTAGCATCATTCAGCTGGTAGTTTACCTTTCATTAGATATATATTTTTAAAATCTGCTTTCTTTGACTCTGCACAATGTCTTGTGGTAATAGCAGTTGTTGACACTGTCAATTTAGGTTCAGTACTGGTGGGAAAAATGCTTTAATATGTTAGACTGCCTCTTGCTAAATATAACCCACTAGTGAATAGGTGGTTCTTTTTCATTTCATTTGATTGTGCCAGTATGTGTGGAGAATAAGATGAAGAGGAAAAAATGCACATAAAGTAAAATTATAGTTTCTTTGCAAGTATATAATCATGTAGTTGGCTTTTACCTTCAGTACTCACTCTGGTTGCTGCATGGAGCAAACTGTAGATTTCTTTTTTTTTTTTTTTTTGCTTTTCCCACTACATTGTGTGTGAAGTAATTTTCTGTTTCTGTGATATCAGCACTTGGAGTAAAATTAATAATTTGATTCCTTTTCTGAAAGGTCCTTAGATTTGAAGGACTGTTGTTTGACTGCTTGGGGCTTCACAAATGTTGTATGTTGTGAAGACAGAGATGCTCCAGCTACTTCTGAGCTTTAATTGTTTGTATAGTTTTAGTAGAAGATCAGGGACAGTGGGTGGATGCAAACAGGCAAATGCAAAAAGAAACAATGTCAGCATATTTTCCATAGAGTTACAGTAGCTGTAACATCCTGGTGGTGTAGTTCAGACTTTTGGGCTTTTTTTACACTGGTGTCTTGATGAAGGAGAGTGGAAATTAATGTAATGGTTATTTGTGGGCAGCTGCACTGCAGTGTAAACTGCAGGATATCTGGAAGCAGGAATAGTGTTTTAGCTGTAGATTAGAGCTGAGTTGGGGGAGTGGCTGAAGGGCCCAAAGGATGCTCTGTGGACAGGATCTCTGCAGCAATGTCTGGATGGGCATTGTGGTCCTGCATCTTGCTGGTTGTTGGTATGGGTATGTCTGTGCTGGTGAGCATCCTGAAAAGGGGAAGGGAAATCGTGCAGACAGTTATGTAGAGCAGTGTGAAACAGTGCATAGAAGGTGCTGACACTGATGATAAAGACAGATTTGGGCTACTAGAACAATAAACCAGCAAAATTTGTGTCTTTGCTGACCTATGTAGACTGGCATTTTTTCTAAGCAATGCATAGAATTATTGCATGAATGGTCAGAATTGTGATTAGTGTCGAGTACAAGAGCAATTATGAGGTTGACTGGCATGTGTGTAATATCACATAATGGAATGTATCTTGCTTAAGGGGCAGGGAGGATCTAAAGAGAGCTGACTTGAAGAGGAGCAAGGAGAAGGTGAGCTGGTGTTGTCAGGTAATACAAAGGCATCGCTCAACCAAGGCAGTCAAAATGGGGGCAGAATGTCCAGAAGGGCTTTATAGGTGAAACTGGAGTTGACTTGGAGAGAAAAGGTTTGGCTAGGAAAGCATCTTCAGGGGCTGGTGCAGAAATTTTCCTTCAAAATCAAGGAATGGAAACCCAGGGGGAAAAAGTTGAGGATGAGAACTCTGGACAGCAAGTGCAGACAGTACACAGAGACTGGACAACAGGCAAGAGTCATTGAAGAGAGGCCAGGAGTGGAGGATCTAAGATTTTAAACAGAAGGTGATGAAATGGTGCTCCAGCTGCAAGCAAAGAACTGTAGTTTGCTGAAGAAAGAATCCTCATGGAAGAGAACAGACAAGCAGAACTGAAAGATTTTTCTCATGTCCTTTACTTGCCCTTTGTTACAGATTTAGGTGTCTATATTTCCCATTTGGAAAAGAGAAGCAGGGATGCATATGAAGACTGAGAATAGATTCAGAGTACCCTGCAACGCTGCAAAAATGACACAAACTTGTAGCAAGACAAATTTGTTTGGCTGCTTCTCACTTGAGATGTGGTGCCAAAATAATTAAAATGGGTGAGCTACTTTAATTATGTTCATCAGATTCTTTTTACAGGCAGCAAGTTCCCAATGCTTCAGAAGAAATCTGCCACGTCTACAGAGTAACGATTGCTGTTTGTGGTGGGAACAGAATAGTTTGCCTTAAGCTTCTGTGTGAGTGTAATGTTGACTTAAGTTTCACAGGCATTTCTTAATATTAAGAAGCATTTTTGAAAACTGCAGGTCATCCTTTTTGCCTGCTTTAAAACTGAGCAAACAGCTAATGTGGAGACTGCAGCTTTAGCAATATCCTAGGAAGGGTATTTTACAGGTGGAGGTTGTACAAATGAATTGGAGATGTGGGAGTTGCTAGGTTCCCAGCTGGCAGGTGATTTCCTTTTAATCGGATTAAGTGACTTCTTTTTCCAAAGCCTTTATATATATAGTGCTTTGAATAATCATAGCAGGGAATATAATTCCAATTAAAAATCATTGCCTTTTTTAAGCAAAAGATTTGTCAGCTTATATATTCTGTTTGACTTACTAGACATAATTCCATTAGTGAATAATTAATGCCATTTATTGTTGCTGTAGTATTTGCTGAGCTGAAATACCCTGTCTGAGCATGCTAGAGCTCTGGAGGGCATGCCAGCCTTGAGTGGAGGAGCAGGGGCAGACATCCCCAAGGTTTCTGTCAGGCTGCTGGCTGCAGGGATTTAGGAGCCTTTCTGCAGGTTAACACAGCTTAATTGGCTCAGGCACGGTGTAGCAATGGGGAACAAAGACACAGACTTCCTTCTTGCTTGCTCCAAAGAAAACAGTTTACTGCAACAAACCGAGCCTTTTTATGTTCCAAACATAACCAGAACCAGCCCTGGTTGGCTGCCTGCCACTGCAGGGTCCCTGCTCAGGTGTCCCGTTACCGAGCAGCTCTCCCACCGCGGGCTGCCCGCGCGTCTCGCCAGCCGGTCACCGCCGCACGCTCGAGGTGACCACACGGCAGCCACACAGCCTGTGCTCTGCTTATAGAGCCTGTCTGTCACCTCGCTGGAACCTTCCCCAGACTGCTTGATGGTGTGCAAGGTGAACTGAATTCAACAGGATTTCTTATCTCCCACAGCATGGGTATGTCCCCCAAGCTACAGTCATGTCTTCTTCTCTCCTCTGTCAGATGGATTTGCTGTGGGATTCCAGCCTTCCTTCTTCTCCTGTTTATCTTGGGGCCATTCAAGAGACATTACTGCCATAGGAGCAAGTGTATCTCTGATCCTCCACCCACCTTGTCACCCTCCAGCTGCATCTGACTTTATCACCAATGACTTGGGAGAGAGGGGACTTGATTGGCACTGGGCCTTGCTGCGTATGGACATAGCCAAACCGTCTTAATTTCTCATTGATATTGCAGTGCCTTTTAACACATTAATTTAAAACCTATTGGCTTGATATTTTGTGCCTTTTAAATGTCATGCAGCCAACTTACTGTGGTCTGCTATAGATGTTTCTGAGACCTTCACTCTCCTGTAGTTGTCACTGCTTGTGCCTACGATTTCCGTCTGCTCCCTTCCCTGAGGATCAATCTTCCTGTGTTGTTGCCTGGCCACTTTGGCCATGGAAACTGTGGCATACATAGAAGTTGAGGTGTCTGTACTTCAGAGATGACTCATGGATTTGTGACTGGAGTGGGATATTCTAGATGA